GTGCTGCCGTCATTTGCGCCTGCCGAAGATCGACTTCTTGCTGGGGTTCTTCTCGCCCACGCTCAGCCCGATGAGCAGACGCGCCTTCTCGTCCTCCTCCTGCTGCTGGATGGCCCCGTCAGATTTGTTCTCCAGCTTCCCCCTGGCCTCCGCGCCCGCCGCAGGCTTCAGGCGTAGCTTCTCCTTAATCACCTGTCCCAGGATTTAGGGGGGTCAGCACCCCAGGGGTGGCCCCTGAGCAGCTGAGCCAGGGCAGCTGCTTCCTGCACTATGCTGGGCAGAGCGGCTCTGGCAGGCTCCCGGGGGTGTCCCACCCACCTGTGCCACCAAGGCTTTGCGGCTGTCCCTCTTCACTGCCATGGCAAAGTCCAGCCACGTCCACGTGTTGTTGTGGTACTCCAGGCACGGCAGCACCAGGTTCAGGTCGCCCCAGTCCACGCTGTTTTTCTCCCCCTGAGTGACAGTCAGGCAGTGTGGGACAATGCTCCAGGCCACCCCCAGCTCGAGGGGCTGTGTCCTCCCCCCCATCCCATCCCATCGACCCACACCTTGTAGCTGACGCAGAGTGGCACCTGTGGGATCTTGATGTAGATGAAGGAGTTGTTCATGGCTGCACGCTCCTTCATCTTGTCGATGTCATCCACAGGATGCTGGGGACAGAGCAGGAGCCGTGAGCAGAAGGGAAGGAGAGGGGACAAAGCCAGGAACCAGCAGGGAAGGGACAGCTGGGCACTAGGCCATGCTATTGCTTCATCGGCGAGCGGTGAGAGCTGCTCTGGCATGGCGTTAGGAAAATGAGATGCTGCAGGGATCGTGTCAAGCCTGCAGGTGCTTGGTTGTAAAGGAAGCAAATCCTCATGGTGGGAGGGAGCAGGAGAAGACAGCCAGGCAAACGGGAGAGGACATGGCAGGCCAGCCCTGCAGCCGAGGGAGAACAGACTGGCTCCACAGCAGGGCTCTCCCACATTCCCCCAGGTACCTCGGGTGCTTTTCGAAATGATCTTCTGACCCCTGACGTCCGATTCAGTCCCTGAGCGACTCCCTTCCCTGGGCCCAGCGAGTCATCGGCCACGATCAGCTGCCGCGGCTTCACCACGGGGATCCCTGGGACAGACAGGGAAAAAAAAACCAGGCTGGTGCTGGGCTGGGGGTTAGCCCTGACCCAGATCCCTCCCAGCTTCCTCCCAGGTTCTCCCCCGTGGCCTCTTGCCCACAGGGGAGACCACAAGTCCCCATTCCTCAACGCGTGGCCCACCAGCAGCTGCCCACAAACATATCCTGGACACGCAGCCAGAGCTGCTCAAGGACACTGCTCGGGTCCCAGGGAGGAGGGTGACCACGAGCCTCTTACCTGTCGTGACCAGCTTAGATTTGTCTTCCTCATCCCCCACCTCCTCCTCCTCCACGTTGCGCCCAGGGAAGAAGAAACCCATCATCCTGTGGAAGAACTGGTGGGTGAGCTGGATGGTGAGGGGTACCACGTTCACCTGTGAAGAAAGAGGCACATCAGAGCCAGGCCCATGCTGCCCATGCCCCACAGGGACCCTGTCACCTCCCGGCTCAGCCACAGCACCTCAAAGTGCTCCTTGATGGAGATGCCTCCCACGGGTGGCCGGACCTTGCTGAAAATCCTTAGTGCCAGCTGCCGTCCAGACTGGCAGGAGCTCTGGGGACGCAGCACCACCTGCAGGGAGGAGGATGGGTAGCCGGGGTGAGGACAGGCCACCCACAGGTCCCCAGGGTGCAGGGCTGCTCCTCGGGCCACCGCTTGCCTTGTACACAGCGTTGGGCAGGAGGTTGTTCATCGTGACCCAGCCCAGCTCCAGCAGATGCTCGGCCGTGTCGTCAGACTTGTTGACCTACGCAGACAGACCCGTCAGCCCCTTACAGCCCAGGCCCCGGCTCGGGGGCCGTGTTGCCAGGGCCAGCTGGGTACCTTGCTGTAGAGGAAGCGCTGGAGCTCCAGCTCGGCGATGCCCAGCTGCCCGTCCTCCTCGGTCAGGCGCCAGCGTGCCTGGGCGAAGTAGAACTCGGTCCTCCGTGCCACGCTCACGTCCTCCGGCTGCTTCCGCAGCTCCATCTTGTTGGCTCGCTGCAGCTGGAAGTCCTTGAAGCACCTGCAGCAGAGAAGGGAGAGCTGAGATGGAGGTGGAGTAAAGGAGAAGGTGGGCAGCAGGTCAAGGGAGGTTCTCCACTCCTGCTGCTCTGCCCTAGTGAGGCCACAGCTGGAGTAGTGTGTCCAGTTCTGGGCTCCCCAGTTCAAGAGAGACCGCTACTGGAACAGCTGAAGAGAGTCCAGTGTAGGCTACAAAGATGCTGAGGGGACTGGAGAACTGCTGTGCTGAGGAAAGGCTGAGAGAGCCCTGAGGCTATTGAGCCTGCAGAGGCGAAGACTGAGGGGATCTGATCAATACTGATCAAGATCTAAAGGAGGAGGTAAGGGGGGGAAAAGGATGGGGCCAGATTCTTATCAGTGGTGCCCAGCGACAGGACAAGGGGCAATGGGCACAAACTGGAACCCAGGAGGTTCCAGCTGAACATGAGGAAAAACTTCTGTGGTGTGAAGGTGCCTGAGCCTGTAGCAGGATGCCCAGAGAGGCTGTGGAGTCTCCTTCTCTGGAGAGATTCCAAACCTGCCTGGACATGATCCTGGGCACCCTGCTGTGGGTGACCCTGGTTTAGTTAGGGGGGCTGGATGAGATGATCTCCAGAGATCCCTTCCCACCCCCACAATGCTGTGACTGTGAGACAATGCTGGGGAAGCCAGAGATGGTCCCAACCTGATCAGTATGTTCAGCTCTTCACTCTCCAGCTGCAGGTCAGCTTTCTCCTGGCTCAGCTGCTGCTGCAGCCTGTGGTTGAGGTCGAGTAGGGTCTCGTTTTTGCTGTCATCCTGCAGGGACTGAAGGACAGACAACCCTCAGCACCCTCTGCCCTGGAGCAGGGACCCTGGGGAGCCAGGCTCTGCCTGGATGTGGGCTCACCTTCACGTTGGAGTACATCTGCTTCTCCAGCTGCCGGATCTGGGCGACGTGCTGCCTCACAGCCTCTTGCAGGTGCAGGATGCTGCTGCGCTGCTCCTCGGGGTTGCTGGACATTTCCAGCTGGAAGCGCACCCGCTGTTTCTTCTCACTGTGCTCCTGGACACAGGGATGGGGAGGGTTAGGACTGCCCCAGGTGCAGTGAGTGACACGGTGACCCGAAGACTTGTGGGTACCTTCCGTTTGGGCTCCACGTGCAGCAGCAGGTTGTTGACTATGTCAAGGATCATGGCATACTGTGCAGGGTTGGTGGAGATCTCCAGGTCATGGTGGATCAGTGTGAATGTATCTACAGCTCCTGCAGGGACATGCAAAGGGCAAGGGGGGGGGCCTCAGCATGGCCAGAAACAGGATGCACACGAGGCCCAGCCAGAGATGGAGAATGAGCCAAAGTGGTTACACTGGCTCCAGCAGGCACAGCATGCCCAGCATCATCTAGTGCACCAACACGTGGCTGAGGACCCTTCCTGAATGTACCCCTCTGATCTCAGCAGGGCCAAGACAGATCATCCCTGGACTTAGCTGGCACCTCTGGATGGACCCACCCTCCTGCTTCTTCAGCAGATCCTCCTTCTCCTGGTTGGCGGGAGTCTCAGGGGGCTTTATCTGCGTGGCCAGCTCAGGGTCGATGTCGTGGCTGTAGCTGATATAGTACATGCGGCAGCTGCAGCGAGAGATGATCCTCTGCACCTGCTGGGTCTGCTGGGCTTCCGAGGGCTGGTTCCAGTCTGCAGACAGGCAGGGGCACCATGGTCACAGTGCCATTTCCTGGCACACTGGGGACCCCACAGCACAGGGCTCAGAGCATCACCAGCTCCTGGAGCTGTCTGGGGACAGGCCAGGTGCTCTCAGTTTCACCAGCCTTGGGGTCACATGTGAGTGGCATTGGGGTGGCAGCAGCCAGCTCTGCAGGCAGTACCTGTGGTGGTGCTGACCATGCCCCCCACCGCCTGCCCGCTCTCCATCAGCTCCTGCACTGAGTCCAGGCTCCGCTGTCGATGCTCCTCAATATTTTTCACCTGGGGAGGCAAAGAGGCAGCACTGGCTGTTCCTGCTTTCCTGCCGTGGCCA